GTGGTCTCCCCTCCTGTGCTTCCTGTCTCGGTGAATGACACTCCAGGGAACACCTGGGAATCATCGAAACCTCTTCCCTCTCTTTTGCCCCATGGTCAGGCTGTCCTTGGGATCTGAGTGGCTTCCTCCCTCCTGCCCCACCTCTTCGTTGATTTGGGTTTGTTGAGGCTCTTCCTCTTTCTGTCCTGGCTAAAGCAACGTTTCCTAACCGGTCTCAGTCTCTGAGCTCTCGCCTGGCTGATACTCCACACAAGTGCAGGGGTGACCTTTCTGGTTGTGTTTTATTTATTTATGCCCTCAAGTTTCGGGAAGGATTTAGGTACATCCAGTCATCGATCATGTTACTGTCTTGCTTAATACCTGTCATTGACCCAGGTCCCAAGTGCTCAGCGTGGGGTGCACAGACTTCTGTGACCTAAGGCCCATCCCTCTCCATGTTCAGCTGTGCTCACAGAAAGCCCAAGAGGCCCCAGCACCATCCCTGGCGCCTCCCCACGGGGGCGTGTTGCCGTGCACCTTGCCTAGCCACCCCGCCCCCCCTCCCCCCCCACCTCAGATGCCCACAGGCTACAGGGTGCTGAGGCAGGGCCAAGGATGAGGCCCTCAGTGGCCCGGAGAGGCTCCTGCCCGAGAAGTTTTGGAGGACGTGACTGGCACTTTCAGGAACTGGGGCACTCCCGCTCCACATACATACCTAGCGCCATTCCCAAATGGGCACTGTGTTCCAGCTCAGCCTCCCCTCCTGCGTTTCCCCCTGCAGTCCCGTGTTGTGCAAGCACCCCTTCCTGTTCCACAGCTGGTTGTGGCAGCCTCCTGCCTCCTGTGGCCTCTTCTGTCCCGTGGCTAAGGCGTTTCCTCATGCCTCCCACTGTGGTTGTTTGACCTCTTCCAGGTCACCTCTCCCTGAGGCCACTCGCCAGAGGGGCCTGCCTTCACCATTCAGCTGTCCAGCTGTCCAGCTGTCCGGCTGTTGTCCCAGGGCCTGGGAGGGAGGCTGGGGGCAAGTGGGCCTGGCCTTAGGTTTCCAGCCCCAAACGGTGCCTTCCACGAAGTCAGGGCTCGGCGGCTGCTGTGGGCTTCAAGCCACGGCCCCTTCTCTCCCACCCTCCGGGGCTGCACGCGCCTGCCTGTGGAACAGCCTTTTCCAGAGCAAGTGCCTGGAAGCACTAATCCCACAGCCTTTCCCCGTCCCCAGAGCCAGCCGCTGATGTATTAAGTTTGAGATGTGCTGTGTTCTGAGATGCTGAAGACCCTTGAAGAGTCCGGCCGGCACGTCTGCAGACGCTTTTGACCAAGGGATGCTTCGTCACGTTACACCTCATACTGCATTCTCGAAACACTGTCTGACGTCACATGTCCTGGCAGAGCTCCTCATCCTGCTGTTGTACGTCCTCGCCCCCACCGCGTGACCCCTGGCTTCGAGAGCAGTCACAGCTGAGAGGTCCGGGCGCAGGTGCCTCGCCTGCAGCGGAGCAGCGATGGAGGCATGACGCTGCCGTGTTATCTCTGCGTGGGCAGAAATTCCTTTCTCGCATATTCAGGGAGTCCCGAGAGCCTTGCCCTGAGCCTGGCACAATGTAGGTGCTCAGTGAAGAATTGATGGCTCAGGATATTCGTTCTGCGGGCTTACACCTGCACTTTGAAGGGTTCATACTGTGCTTCCTCAGATGGGAGACCACCCCCTGTCCATTCACCTGTCTGCCATGGAGCACATGGCTTCCCTCTGGTGCTCCCCGCCCACAGAGGCCTTTCCGGAAGCTCCCAACAGAAGGTCTGGAAATCACACAGTGCCCAGTGGGGCTGCATCAGGGCCTCTTTGGCAACTCCTTGGCAAGGGGATCCATTCTGGCGCTTGTCCATCGATGTCCACAATCCATTGTTAGCTCGTGAGAGAAATTATTATTATTCCGACTGTGACTGATGACCCTGGAGCTTCTCCCGTCTTTCTCCTCCTGAGTTTTTCTTTGCCGTCCACACTGGCTACACACAGAGCAGCACCCACGGTTGGTGGCAATGACTTTTAGAAATCTAGTCCAAAGTAAGGTTTGGTCAGAAGATTGGAGCACAGCCCCTTTGGTGCTTGAGTGTTACTATTAATGCCTCCGTACAGCGGGTAGGAAGCAGCAGCTATATATAGATAGATCTATATAGGTAGATATATATATCTATATAGAGATAGATATATCCTATTGTGAGTTCTCCATTCCCTGGGCAAGTTTATCCTCAGGTATCACTGTTAAGGTCAATACCAACTTCATAACTTCAAACAGAGCTCAGTACTTCCCAGCTCTGCCAGCCCTGTGTGGAGGAGGGTCTGCATCGATAGGCAGAAAGGAAGGGGGAGCAGTGCTCTTTCTGTGTGCTCTCTTGGGGGTCCACATCCAATGGGGCCGTTACTGCCACCACTTGCCAATAAAGCACTGAGAATTATTGATCATTGACTCTCCCCATTGGATTGTAAGCTCTCTGAGAAGGGGGCTTTGCTTTTTTCACTGGGGTATCTCTGTGCCTCACCGAGACCCAGCAGGTGGGAGGGAATCAGTAAGGACTCACTGAATGAATGAAATAGCACAAAGTCCTCTCTCATTAAGAGCATGCAGGGCCTTTCTTCCCCCAGCTCATCTTTTCGGGTTTTTTTTGTTTTTTGTTTTTACTTGATTGGATAATAAAATCTCAGTAATGTTTAACACACTGCCTTTTTAGTTATTAGTGTTTTTCACTTAATTTCTTCACCGGGCAAATAGAATGCTACAGACTTTAGCAAAAGAGAAGCGCTGTTTTAAAGATAGAAAGGGGGTCCCTAGCTGGCTCAGTCAGAAAAGCATGTGACGCTTGATCTACGTGTTTGTTTTGAGTCCCATGTTGGGTGTAGAGATTACTTAAAATCTTTTTAAAAAAAATTTTTTTTTTCAACGTTTATTTATTTTTGGGACAGAGAGAGACAGAGCATGAACGGGGGAGGGTCAGAGAGAGACACAGAATGCGAGAACAGGCTCCAGGCTCTGAGCCATCAGCCCAGAGCCTGGCACTGGGGCAACTTCACATTCGGCCTTGTAGATCGTGACCTAGCTGGTCCAGTGCTTTCTGGCACCGACTGCGCCACCCAGGCGCCCCTTAAAATCTTTTTAAAATAAATGATAGAAAACATTTTCTTAACTGAAGAAAGGGGTGGTGTTGATGAATTTTATTTGTGGATATATGATTAGTCGACAACACTAATTTAAAAATATCTTTATTTTGTGTATACATTAGCCTGATATTTTAACATGGTTATGCCCTTATTTGACTCACTGTTTTGGCTTCTTAGTCTTCTTAATGTGTTGGATGAGTAATTTAGATGACATTTCAAACTTATTTTCTGAGCTACTTGCTATTTAAGCCAATGACAGAAATAGGCATTTCCGTTAATTACCAAAAAAAGTCAAGGGTTAAAAAATATAAAACATGGTCATGAGCCATTTAAAAATGAGGTTTGCTGTCTCCAAGATGGGGATCTGTGTGGCCTGTAAATACTACACAGTAGAAGCAGTAGAGACCGGAGTTCTCAGCCAGGGCCAGTTTATTAAATTTATTAAATTAGTCAAGGATTCTGGAGAGCCCATTTGGGGAGATCAGTCTTCATTCATTCATTCATTCATTCATTCAACAAATTTGATCACGTGCCTCTGTATGTCCAGGCACTGTAGCAGGTGCTGGGTACATATATTGAGGGTTACAGAACTCCATGTCTACTGAAGGAGAAAGGCACAGAAATAATTGTAAAATTGTCACAGTTCAGTGTGCTAAGTGTGGATAATGACCATTTGAGAGCTGTTGTGACACAGAGAGGATTGAGTGCCACCACCTTCCCCTTCAAGAATGGCTCTATGGAGGGCTGAGATTTCTTGCCTTCTCCTCTACTTAACTTTTTTTCCTGGAGTTCCTTAAAACCTAGTCCAGGGACGCATGGGTGGCTCAGTTGGTTGAGCGTCCGACTTTGGTTCAGGTCATGATCTCACGGTTCATAGGTTCAAGCCCCTCATCAGGCTCTGTGCTCTGAGCCTGCTTCGGATTTTGTGTCCCTTTGTCTTTCGGCCACTCCCCAGCTCACGCTCTGACTCTCTCTCTCTCTCTCTCTCAAAAATAAACACTAAAAAAACAAAACAAAACAAACCTAGTCCAAACGTTATGTCACTTTACCTGCAAATAATTCAATGTATATATCCAACGGCTAAGGGCTTCACAAAACAAAAACCAAACATAATTATGATGCCAAATACAATTGGCACTAATTCTTCAGTATCACCCAGTATCAGTGAGTCCATATTCATATTGCCCTTATTTGCTCAAAATGTTTTTTCACAGTTGGTTTGAGTTGGTCCAAGTAAACGCCACACACAGCATTTGGTTTTTTGTTTCTCAAGTCTGTTTCAGTACATGTTTAATACAGCATTGTTTGTAGTGGCAAAAACAAAACAAAACAAGCCATGAATGGAACAATGTTGAATGTCCATAAAGTAGGCAGTGATCTGGCCTATAAATGAGACGAAAGGGGAATGGAGTGGGAGGGGGATTTTTCTATAAACACCTCTATAGTGTTTGACTTGGTACAAAGTGCATGTTATTTTTATACTCAAAGAGAAAACCTTAGTAAAGAAAAAATCAGGATAATAAAATGACTTTCATTGCTTTTGTTCTCTATGATATCTGACTAGGCAGCTTTAAGTGCCTCTTGAATTTGGTCCGGGGGGACCCACTCATGTTTTTATGGAGTATTCCTTGGAGCAGAGCCACAATGAACCAAGTGTTGTAGGCGGCTTGGGAAATACATCAGTAGTGTGTTGCTTAACTTCAGTTTGGGCTAATTTTTAAATCATGTATGATTATGGCCGGAGAATCCTCAGGGATCAAAAACTTTGCAAATCTGTTGATTTTATGTGAGTAAAGTGATTTAGGATTAATGCATTGCTCTCCCTGTTTAACACAGCCTCTCTTCTTTTGTTTCCACACCCCACCCCCAGGCTTCAACCATGTTAAGAGCCTCCTTGGCACCAGGGTAAGTCATTGCCCTTAGGAGCTGTTATTATGGAGAACAGCCCTGGGTAAAACTAGAATTCAAAGTAACTTTAGTAAACATTCATCTTAACAGCCTAGCTTAGAGGAGTGCCTTTGATTAGCTAGACCTCCAGTCTAGCTGGATATTAAAGGAAGTGCCAGTAATTATAAGCAAGATTATTAAACTGGAGGTATTTTTTAGTATTAATTCTACTTATTTTGGAGAGGTAGCATCAAATGGAAAAATTCATTGACTTGTTCCCATGATATTGTATAGAATCTTCTGTCATAGGGCAGTCAGCAGAGTGGTGCAATGTCTGAATTTCATGATCTCTGCTGGCTCACACTATGACCAGGGCCACAGGATAGCTTTGTCTAGGCCTGAGCGTTCCTACCCACATCAGTTAGGTTGTCACCCGTGTGGGGGTCGGATGCAAGGGAGCTTCACCGGGCATGTATGTTGCAGTAAAAGGAAGTTGAGAACCTTTAGCAAAGGCGCGAGGAGTAAAGTGGCTTCTGTTGGCCCCCTGAGCCCCCCTCGTTATGGGAGTTCGGGGGATACTCTCAGATGACTCAAACACCTGAGAGAGACACAGCCTGCCTCCTCCCTCAGTCCTGCCTGAGTCTGACACTGACCCTGCACTTTGTTCCCTTCAGGTGGTGGCTGTCTAATGTGATGCTTATGAGCACAGACTGCCGGGGCTAAAATCCCACCTCTGCCACTGGCTCTGTGACCTTGGACCACTTATGTAACTTCCCCGTGCCTCAGTCTCCTCACTTGTAAAATGACACTAATAATAACTTTCTTATAGGATTATTGTGAGGATAAAAATGAGTTAATATGTATAAAGCACTTAGTACAGTGCTGGGGATTATTTAATAAACTCCTTGGGTGTTTGTTAATGTTATTCCCAACGGTATAAGAAGCAAGGTCACCTGCAGAGAGTAAAGGGGGGTGGTTGGTGGAGGGGCTTAAGAGGACAAAGGAGAAGGTAGGACACAGTTTTCTTGGACAGTGGGAGAGTGGCTGGACTGCAGAAATGTGGGGTTTCTCAGCAACTTAGTTGGCAATAAATTCAGCCGCTAATATTGCCGTGATGAGAGAGTAACTGTGGCCCGCATGTGACAGGGAAGTGCTATTTCCAGCCATAGGAAGTACCCCAGCTATAGGACAATTTCAGACTTGGCTTTACAGATGGCACTTTTTTGTCTAGAACAAGTTCTGGTTTAAATTTCAAATTAAAAAATCTTTTTTTCATTTTGAAATAATTTCAAGAGCTACAGATATTGTACAAAGAATTCTCCTATACCCTTCACCCAGATTCCCCGTGTTAATATTTGACACAAGCCCAGGGCAGTTATCAAAATCAGAGAATTAACGCTGGTACCATACCATCTAATCTACAGGCTTTGCTCACGTTTTACCAGTTCCGTTATGTCCTCTGTCTGGTCCAGCGTTCAGTCCAGGATCATATGTTGATGTGGTTGTCGTGTCTGATTCCTTTACTGGAAATCATTCCTTAGTCTCTGTTTTTCATGGCCTTGACACTTTTGAAGAATACTGGCCAGTCATTTGTCATCGAAATTTTTAAAGTAGTCTGTGTTCATTTTTAAACACAGTAGTATCTGTCTCAGGAAAATAAGTGTCAAAATAGTGTGAACATGTGCGTGGCTCAACTGTTTGATGTACAAAATAGGACACACTCCTCCCAGGAGTGTTTACTGAGATCTCATTTGTGGCCCTGTTTTCTGGCCTTTTTCCCTGGGCCCTTGAAGAGGATTCCATTTTGGCTTTAAAAATTTTACATTTAAAAAAACTAGCACGGGGGCACCTTGGTGACTCAGTCGGTTAAGTGTCCGACTTCGGCTCAGGTCATCATCTCGCGGTTTGTGAGTTCGAACCCCGCATCAGGGTCTGTGCTGACAGCTCGGAGCCTGGAGCCCGCTTTGGATTCTGTGTCTCCTCCTCTCTCTGCCCCTCCCCTGCTCATGCTCTGTCTCTCAATAATAAATAAACATTAAAAAAAAATTTTTTTTTTTAAACTAGCAGTTAGGGGTGCCCGACTGGCTCAGTCAGTAGAGCATGAAGAAAACTGACAGGATCCTGAACACTGTCTCCCAGAGGTATTCCCTCAGTTTCTATCCCACCCTTCCAAACTAAGGAAACGAGTGAAATAGGTGAAGGAGACCGAGAGATACAAACTTCCACTTACAAAATAAAAAGTCCTGGGATGTAATGGACGGCACAGGAACTATAGTCAATAATATTGTATTGCCAATTTACAAGTTGCTAAGTCACTTCAAAGTTCTCATCACAAGAAAAGGCATGGGAACTTGGTATGGTGACAGAGGGCAGAGAGACTCAGTGCGGTGGCCATTTCGCACTGTGCGCGAGTCATCATGCTGTTTACCTGCAAGTAATATAACGTGTCCCCGTTACACTTCAGTGAAAAGCAAAAAGAACTCTTCGTTTTTGCGTCTTTTCACCCAAGTCCTCCTGAGCCCCCAGTCAGTGTTGTGCAGTTAGTGTTGATAATAGTATTAATGTTCCGTGCACAGGATCGGGAGAACCATATTTTTGTTTTGCTTTTGGTTTTTACTTGTTTTATGGTAAACCGATTATAACTCCCCAGGGAGTTGAATCCCCAGGCCCCCAGTGGTGGCCTCTGTGATGAGTGTGACATGAAAGCGAGGAGGTGAATGTTGCTCCAGTCCCGTAAACCAGACCATAGGCCTCGCTCCCTTGTCACTCGTCCTCCCTTCTGTCTAGTCCCCTCCTGTTCAGCCAGGCAGACAGTCAAGACCCTGGGAAACCTGGCTTCCCCCCGGGGCTTGCCTGGAGTCCTCTCAGCCAGGGTCTGCCAACTGTCCTGCTTTCTGCCCGTCTCACAGGCGGGAACCCGCGCTACCTCCTGGCACACCCCTGCACCTGCTCAGGGGTCAACCATGACTCTTCACAGGTGTTTCTGAACCCCGGTCCGTCCTTCCCCCGGTTAGGTTCCTCGGGTTCGAGAGGCACAGTGACCTCGGGTTTTTAGGAAGAACGCTCGGCCCTGCTGACGCTAATAGTTTTTGGACTTTGCCCCAGATTCTAAGGAGGACGTTGAGCGCTGCAGCAAGTGCTGGGGCCTCTGAGGAGATTTCATCCCTGTCGGATGGAGCCCAGGCCTAACGGGAATGCAGTGGTTTCTAAACCCGGTTAGGCAGGGACTCCTCGTTTTGGGGAAGATGTTAAACAAAACCCCAGTACGTACCACAGGAGAGACAGAGCCGGGCTCGTTGATGCTGGGGGGGTCGGAGCCTAGAACCAGCCCTCTCTGTGGAAGCCTGGACGTAGTTCCGGGAGCACAGAAAACAGCCGGGCCGCCGCTAGCCTGTGCAGCTCGAGACGGGGGTCCCGATACTCAGGAGGTATAATGAACATGCCCTTTTGCCCTTTTCTTTCTCTTTGAACTTGTGTTGCCCAGTAGGAAGCTGAAGGATGTCCCATTGCTGCCCTCCTTGGATTATGAGAAACTGAAGAAGGATTTGATTTGGGGGAGTGACCGCTTGAAAGCCTTCTTGTTGCAGGCTCTGCGCTGGGTACGTACCTTAAGGGGGAAAAAGGCCATGCTAGTTTTCTTGGCTGGCTAGCTCAGGTGTATCTTGTAACCCATCTACTAAAAATCTGTCTTCACGCTGCCTACTGCCACCAACAACCTCTCAGGATCGCCTTGCCTCTTTGTAAAACCCCCGTGTTGACATCACAGTTGCCATTGCCTTCCCTCAGTCATTTGACATAGGAACCTTCTTTCTTTCTCTTTCTTTCTTTCTTTCTTTCTTTCTTTCTTTCTTTCTTTCTTTCTTTCTTTCTTTCTTTCTTTTTCTTTCTGTCTGTCTTTTTCTTTCTTTTCCTCCCTTCCTTCCTTCATTTCTTTCTTTTTCTTCCTTCCTTCCTTCCTTTCTTTTCTTTCTTTCTTTCTTTCTTTCTTTCTTTCTTTCTTTCTTTCTTTTTCTTTCTTTTCCCCCTTCCTTCCTTCATTTCTTTCTTTTTCTTCCTTCCTTCCTTCCTTCCTTTCTTTCTTTTCTTTCTTTCTTTCTTTCTTTCTTTCTTTCTTTCTTTCTTTCTCTTTTCCTCCCTTCCTTCCTTCCTTTCTTTCTTTTTCTTCCTTCCTTCCTTCCTTCTTTTCTTTCTTTCTTTCTTTCTTTCTTTCTTTTCCTCCCTGCCTTCCTTCCTTCCTTTCTTTCTTTTTCTTTCTTTCTTTCTTTCTTTCTTTCTTTCTTTCTCTTTCTTTTTAATGTTTATTTATTTATTTTGAGAGAGAGAGAGAGAGAGCCCCCAAAATATGCAGTTTCAAGACTGCCCCTGCTGCCTGGTCTCGAGCCACACCTGGCCAGCGCAGTCGGCATGTGAGCGCCCAGAGTCATTCTGAGGTGACAGCTTCACCAAGACTTCTGCATTCAGGCATTGCCGCATGGCCATTGGGGCAGACAGCAAGGGTGGATGCTGATGAACCAGTCTTTAAGGGAAGCAAAGCCCAGTCTTCACACTGGTCCCAGTTAAGCCAGTGGTTCGGGCTTTTTGGTCTCAGACCCCTTTACGCTCTCAGAAATTACTGAGGACCTAAAAGCCTTCAGTTTATGTGAACTTTATCTACAAACATTTATAATATTAGAAATGAAAACTGAAAATGTTAAATATTAATCCATTTAAGATGAACAATGAACCCAGAACATAACATAAATGACACCTTTTTTTATAAAAAACTATTTTCCGGGCAAAAAAATTAATAGGAAAAGCAGCATCCTTATACATTTTTTCAAATTTCTTTAACGTCTGGTCTGATGGAGGACAGCTGGATTCTTACATCTGCTCCCCCATTCTATTTGTCACAGTGTCACCCTTCATACAGCCTCTGAGACATTTACTATGAAAAAGATAAACCGTATGTTAGTATTATGAAAACAATCATGACCTTGTAAGCTCCCTGAAAGGGCTTTGAGGACCCGTAGGGTTCCCAAGATGACACTTTGAGAACTACAGGTCTAGGCCAGTGCTGGTTGGCTCTTTAAATGATCCGTTCTAACTTATCCTGTAATCGTGTCGGACTCCTCATGGATCCCTGAATCTCAGGTTATGTTGCCATCAAAATGCCTTTGAGCAATTTCCCGGTCTCTGGGTGGAAAAAGGCCGCCTCACTTGCTCTTCTGATGGTTGGTGGTGCTTCCTGGAATGTGGTCTCGAGGCGTGCTCTGAGGATGACTCTAGCCTCAGCGGGAAGAGTCCTGCGATCAGTGGTGATGCCTGCCTCAGCTGACGAGGTGGGCAGCGGGAGTAATCTCGGGGGGCCATCCGTGCCCCAGATGTCGCCTCTCTCTGCTCAAGTCAGCAAGCCCTTTCCTTGGCTGCTAGATTGTCTGCCCCGCACGTCCTCACAGTTCGTGCTGCTGGGCTCTTGGTGAGACAGGGTAGTCCTTGGCTGAATGAATGACGTTGTCACAGAATAGTCAGGAAAAGTAAACCTGTGTCTTATGATTTTGTCTGTGTCCCACTCCAGCCCAGCAGCCCCGCATGTGACACTCTTGGCACACCCTCCTTTAATAGAGTGCCCTCTCCCCTCAGGGCCTCCTGCTTGGCCACAGTGGGTCCAGCCTGTCAGCGACACCTGCCTCCGGAGGCCTCCACCTTTCGGTTCTGGGGGGGTCTGCCGCTCTTGTCTCCTCACCATGTGGTCCTTTACACACCCAGCGCCTCCTCGGCCAGAAGTAAGGCCTGCGGTCTCAGGGATTGTTAGGAGGATCTTCCTGGAGAAGCAAGGACATTTGCTCACTTTAGTTATGTGATGTTCTCGTGTTGTAATTCATACCTGTACACACCCATATGTGCACACGCACACACATTGCACACATGACATTTTCTTTACTTCTTTCTTTCTTTCTCTTTAATGTTTATTTATTTTTGAGAGAGAGAGACGCAGTGTGAGCAGGGGAGGGGCAGAGAGAGAGGGAGACACAGAATCCGAAGCAGGCTCCAGGCTCTGAGCTGTCAGCCCAGAGCCCGACGCGGGGGCTCGAACTTACCGCAAAATCATGACCCGAGTCGAAGTCAGAGGCTTAACTGACTGAGCCACCCAGGTGCCCCACAACATTTTTTTCTAGCCCTATGGACATGAAGTAAATTCCTCCTTAACCCGAGACTTACGGCTCTCAAGATATACAAAATTCTACGCATCTACACCCTACACACACGCACACACACACAATATTGCTACAGTGGTCTGTATAGTAGAAAGTCTAATTTGTTGGCAACACATTTGCTCCAAGCCCTCTTCCACCCGCCCTTTGTCCACCCCCCCATCACTGAGCTCCACTCACCTGCACCCTGCATTTTCACGCCTCCCTGACCTTTACCACACTTCCTCCCCCATCCGCCATGCTCACATTCCCGTGTGGTGGCTAATGGTCTGCTCATCCTTTATGGGCCAGCTCTTGAGGCCCTTCCTGGCAAAACCCTCTCTAGATATTGGTGAGCTCTCCCTTATCTGTACACTTGCAGTCCGGGCATTTTACCACTTCACTTCTCTGGAGATTCCACGTGTGCAGGCTGATGCCTACGTCACCCATGAGGAAATACGACATTGTAACTCGTTAGTTGACTGGTTGGCTGGGTAACTAACCCTCCCCACCCGGATATTATTTACTTTGGTTAAATGTGTGGTTACCGGTACTGCCATTTAAAAGATGCCCGCTATGGGAACATTTTTCTCCATATTAAGACTTAGATCTGTTACTTTTCTTTTTCTTTATTCTAGCGCTTGACCACATCCCATCCTGGAGAGCAGAGGGAGACCGTTCTGGAAGCCTACATTGGCAACGACCTCCTGGACTGTCACAGCCACGGCCAGGTCTCTAAGGGGAGGGCCAGAGCCCAGCCAGGGCCTTTATTTCGAGGGGATGATCTTAGCAAAAGGAGGAGGCTTTACTTTTTATGAGATTTTCAGTCTAGTGACTGTATGTCAGCCTTGAGCTCCTGTTAGCTGGTGAGATCTGCTATTCACCCCACACATTGGCCCACTTTTCACCTCTGGTAGAGTCCTAGACAGGTTGAACTGCCTGATTCAACTCTGGAGCTCTTGCCTGTCGTTTTTCCTTTTCCCCAAATCCCAACTCTTTTCGTGACCCTGCCGCCTAACTGTGAGTCCTGCAAGCCCAGCATGATTTACGGCCAGCAAGGCGGGTAAGCCAAGCCAGTTGTTTTCATCTGGGCCCGACTTGAAATGTGTTAACACTATGTTTGTATATAGCTTCGGACCAGATAGGTCTGACGATGCAGTGGGATTCAGAATGAGATTAACTGGTTTCAGACTTCTGCCCTGCTGCCTCTGAGCCAGATTAGCTTAAGTACATTACTCTTAACCACCTCTGAGAAGGAGCCTCACCTGCCTTGTGAGGTTGGGAGGATGATTGCGTTTGGTCACGTGTGGGAAGTACTTGACCCGGTGCCCAGCACAGAGTAGCCAAGGCATGGCGGTTCCCCTCCCCACTCCTCACCCCCTTACCTGTTGCCAGCACCCGGCTTCGCTGGACAGGAGGAGGAACGAGCTCTTGAACATGGCATATGTAAAGACGCCGCATTTCATTGTCCCACTGAATGTTTATCCAAAATGACGTAAATACTTTATCTTCCTATTGTTAAGCTCACAGCGTGTGCGCTGAGTGGAATATCGATACCCCTTAGGCTCGCCGATGAGACGGCACCCTGCAGAAACTAATCATGTTAGTTGTGCCTGTTGTGCACATAGGCGGTAGCGTTTGAGAATTCTGAGTTGCCAGTTTATTCTTTGAATGTAGTTTTCTTACTGCTCCCATGAAAGAGTTATGTTAAGTTTAAAAATAGTCTCTCAGATTCGTGACTTATTTTCTTTTATTTTTATTTCTTTAAAAAAAAATTTTTAATGTTTATTTACTCCCTTTTGAGAGAGAGAGCACGCGTGCCAGTGGGGGAGGGACAGAGAGAGAGGGAGACGCAGAATCCAAAGCAGGCTCCAGGCTCCAAGCTGCCACTGCAGAGCCCAGAGCGGGGCTCGAACTCACAAACCACGAGATCATGACCTGCGCTCAAGTCCGACACTGGACGCTTAACTGATTGAGCCACCCACGTGCCCCTTTTTACTTCTGCTTATATTTATAATGGCATTGAAACCAACTTATCAGACATGAAGCAGTTGAAAAATACACTGTTGTGACTTTATAAACTCAAATGCAAAGAGTAAATTCAGTTGGATCTTTCTGAAACTATCTTATTTCATTGAATCTGAGATGCATTTTCCCCCCATGTTAGCATCTGGGAAATTGGAATGTATCTAATACTTGATGGCCTGTTGTAGTTTAATTGGCTGCTTTTCTTTCTTGGTTGTACATATAAAAAAAATAATGTATCCTCCTCTAATGAAAGATGCCTTAGGTTTTCCTCTCTCTGTTTTCTCTGTTCTTTTTCTGAATGTAGCACCTCTTGAACTGCTTCTCTAATTTTACCTTGTCTCTCATGTTTTCCATATTTTTCTTTTTGCTTTACTTTCCGGGAGATCTCCTCATCTTTATTTTCTAACCTTTTAGTTGAGTTTTTCATTCTCCCTTTTTGTGACATTCTGTTTTTTCATGGACATAAAACAACTTCTTGTATCTCTGAGGGCATTAGTGACACATTCGCACTTATTTCTAGTTTTCTTCTCCCTTCACCGTCTCGTTTCCTTCAGGTTGTTCCCCCATCTGTTTTGACCTTATCTATCGCCCATATTGGAAACTTATCTTGAGTTTCTGATAGACCTTGTTTAACTCATAATGTTTTGAGTGGGGGGAGTGAAAGCCGATTGGAAGTTGTGAATGCGAGGGTAGGACCTGTAGACGCAGTGCTCCACTGGAGGGTGAGCCAGGTGGGCTCTCTATTAGGAACCTCTGATTTTAGGATCTCTGGTTCTTTTCTCTTGGGCTGGTCATTTTCTTCTAGGAAGAGTCTTCTGTTCTTCTGCCTAGAGGGTGAGGATCTGGGTGCAGTGTTCCGGGACTCCGGTAGGAGAAGAGGACAGGGTGCTCCCTGTTCAGCATTCTTTCTGCATTTAGGCACTGCCCCTTACCCCCTTCTGGTGTAGAAGTCCTGCTTACCTGGGCCAGGTGCCCCCCCCCCCAACCGAGACCCTTTGTGCTACCCTTGCAAGAGACCAATGGGGGGAAGTATGCGGTAGGACAGTAGTGTGGGAGCAGCAAAGTGGGATCTAGCTCCTGCTTTAACAGCTTTCATTCATTCTTCTTTATTTTTTTCCCTTTTGAGGGTTAAGTGCTGTAAATTGGGTAATTCCTCATTGTCCATTGCTGCCTTTGAGACTTGACATTCTTGGGTCTGCTAAGTCTGTTACTGCCCTGCATTCCTGATTCTGAAATTGTGTTACATTTCTTGTGCTGTCTCTCTGTCCTTCAGAATTTATGTCTTTTAAAAAAAAAAAAAAATTCCGTTCACTGTAGTTTTACTGTGGTTTGCAGGGAGCAAAAATAATGATGTGTGCGTTGGAGCTATCATTAACCTGGAAAAACATTAGCAACAGCAATAGCCAACAGTATTGCCTCCCTTGTGCCAGTCACTGTCTAAGTGCTCTGTATAATTGGTTCTTTTTTTTTTTTTTAATGTTTATTTATTTTTGAGAAGGGTGGGGAGAGGGGCAGAGAGAGAAGGAGACACAATCCGAAGCAGGCTCCAGGCCCTGAGCTGTCAGCACAGAGCCCAACACGGAGCTCGAACCCACGAACTGCGAGATCGTGATCTGAGCTGAAGTGGACAGTTAAGCGATTGAGCCACCCAGGCGCCCGTATAATTCGTTCTTTTAATTTAGAAGGCTGAATAACTTATTTTTTGTCAACTCTCATAAAAAATCAGTTGGAAATGGAGATTTCCAGATGAAGCATTGGCTTCAGTCCCTTTCTTTCACCTCTAATAAATTGACACGGAGGAAGAGAAGAGCAGACCCAGAGAAGGGACGTGTATTTACCTGTCACTTTTCCTTAACCTCATCATTTTCCTCTTTTGCTGTGTTTCCCCCACAGAGGAGTGTGCTTCAGCTGCTGCACTCCAAGAGCGAGGTGGTGCGACAGTACATGGCCCGGCTCATCAATGCCTTCGCGTCCCTGGCGGAAGGTAGAGCGTCAACTTTTCCTCCCAGAGAGCAGCTAGGTCTTATTAATGCTTTTTATTCCTTTGAAAATCGACGTTCTTCTTCATGTTTCTTAAAGATGCTGTACGTCCCCTCCATTTATTCCTGTTTAGTGCATCTAAGGTGTTTTGTGCAAATTGACTGTTGTCCTTTTGCTTAGTTTATGTCAGAGCAAATTTTGATGGTTTTAGAGTTTACTTTATAAGCCTTCTGGTTTTATTTTGTGAGATTTCTGGTTTCGTAACCATAGTATTTCACTAGCTTTCAAGTATATAACAGGTAATGCATTTTCTATAGTTTTCTGCAAAATAAGGTTAGTGAAATAATCAAAGCTGATTCCAATAAGCACTGCACCATTTCCTTCAAAGGAGTGTAACCTCTAGGGGCTCCCGGCTGGCTCAGTCGGTGGAGCGTGTAACTCTTGATCTTGGGGTTGTGAGTCTGAGCCCTATGTTGGGTGTAGAGATTACTTAAAAGTAAACTCTTTTTTTTTTTTAAAGCCTATAATCTCTTAAACCAAGAGGATTTGAAAATTCCAAAGATAATACATACCAAAGCTGAATTCAAGATGATTTTACAGGGTGCCATTATCTTCCATTAAGTTCCACTTTGTTTCAGCTTTTTAAAATGTGAATAAAGGGAGTTTTCAAACGATGACTAGATGATACTCCAAAAGCTGGGTCAGTCATTCATTCGCTTGTTCTTCCGTCAGTTCTTACAAGGGAGGGTACATGCATCAATGTCATCTGTATCAAGACACAAGTCTACAACAGGCTAGTGGTAGCTCAAGGCTTATTGTAGGGTGCCAGGTATGGTTCCCATCTCCTTTCCCAGGCCATGGGTGTGTCTCGAAGGAGCAAGGAATGTGCCAGAAATCATTACTGCTTGGTTGCCCCTATTATAAAGACTAGGGGCCCCATAACATATAAATTCCTTACCCTCTTTCTCCTTGTAGATCTGACTTTTGGGTTCAAGATTTCAGGTAAATAAAAGAGCTCCCCACAAAAACATAGTGATGAATTAATTATGTTTAGATTACAAAAGGAGTCGTTTTTTCTTCGTTAGTTGATTGGATAAAACCAACTTTGCAGAAAAAATATGTTTTAAGTTTTTTAGAACCTAAAATCACCCAAACTCTACACAACGTTACGTGCAAAGTGTTCATCGAAAGTGGTTTTGGAGCATGAACTTAGCACAAGATAAATTCTTCTGCTTGTGCATCTCTGGTTATATTATTAGGTCGTCTCTACCTGGCCCAGACCACAAGGGTGCTGCGGATGCTGGAGGAAAGGCTGAAGGAGGAAGACGAGGATGTTGTCACCCGGGAGAACATTCTCGGGGCCTTGCAGAAGTTCAGCCTCAGGTGCTGACCGCGCAGTAGGTCATGGTAGCTCCTAACAGTAAGGTTTAGCCACTGTTTAGTCCCAATAGCAGCCCAAGGGGCACGTGATATTTTCAGTTAACATTTAGGAGAGGTTGGGTGACTTTCCAAGATAGGGCTGGCAAGCCTATCTCTAATCCTCGAGACCATCCAGCTCAGGAAGTGCCGTTGTGGTGTCCTCACGAGCGCCACGGCTGGGGCTGGCCAGGGGCCGGATTGTGTCTCAGGCCACGTGCCGGGGGTAGAGATGCACACGTGAGTAAAACCTGATGGAGCTCAGCTCAGCAAGTCACTCGCAGCCTCTGTGGGAGATGTGCACGTGGATGAGGAGTCACAGGGGGTGTGGTGGGATTTCCATGGAAGGTGGGCGGAGCCTCCCGCTCCCCAGTCCCTATGTCCCAGCGGCCCACCCTGACGTCTCCATCTGGACCCTGTTATGACTTGGATCTCTTAGCCACCTAGAGCTTTTGTTTGTTTTTTGTTGACAGCTTTATTAAGGTATACTTTCATAGCACAAAATTCACCCCTTTTAAATGCACCATTCAGTGAGTCTTAGTAGATTTACAGAGTTGTACAGCCACCGCCACAAGCTAATTTTAGAACACTTCCATCACCACGCAAAGAACCTCATGCCCACCTCCAAGCCTCATTCTTACCCCCGGCCCCTGGTAACCACTAATTTGCTTTCTGTAGAGTTACCCATGCTGGACATTTTAGATAAATGGAATCCTATAATGTGTGTTCTGTCGTGACCGGCTTCATTCACTCAGCATCATGGTTTTAAGTTCATCAGTGGTGTAACGTGTCAGGACTTGGTTCGTTCGTCATGCTGAGTAACGTGTCGTTTTATGGACACAACACATTTTGCTTATCTATTCAGCAGTTGACAGATATCTGGATTGTTTCTACTATTTGTCTATTATGCATAAGCCTCTTAGGAACATCTGCATACAAGTCTTTGTGTGGACACATGTCTTCCTGTCTCCTGACTCGGTGTCTAAGAGTGGAATCGCTGAGTCGTTCAGAATTCTTGCAGCATGGCGTTCCCTCCTGACCACCTCACTTTCTCTCGGCCTTAGTAAGAAAGCTCTTTCTGACCATCAGCCCCCTTCTGGACATACTTTCTTCCTGTCAAATGTGGTTAACTTTTTTTTTTTAATTTTTATTAGAAAGAGTGGGGGGAGGGGCGGAGGGAGAGAGAGAGAGAAATGTGGTTAACATTTGATTGATACGCTCTCGCTAGTAGCCCAAAGCCTGCAAAGTGACTTAGTCTTTTTTTTTTTCTTTTTTTCCCCCAAGGTGACTCATTCTAAGTGTGTATGTTTCATGAGGGAAAGCGGTAGGTAGTTAGCTCCTACTATTTGTCAGGTCCCTGCCAATGCTTCTTGTTCTAACTATGTGAATTGAGAAGATCTGTAAGTGGTAATATCCAGTTATTATATTCCTCAGATCATATGAACACTTTGTCTCTGTTTGTTTATAAATTTAGCCTAGTGTCGACTGCATTTGGAAAATTTTTAGAAATTCAGTGACTATAGTTAAGTAACAGAGATAAGATACAAGGAAGAAATACTTCTTTCTGGGAATACAGATATTTATTGCCAGTTTTTTCTTGCCCTGCAAACAGTAATTTAAGTTTCTCTGTTCTGGAAATATGCTTCATGTTTTTGCAGTTTTCTGGAGTCTGTACAGTGAATGTAGAGAGTTAGGATTACCAAAAGAGTGTAGCCTTCATTGTATTCCAGTAAATTTCACCGAGGTGGTGAGTGTGGTGTGTAAGACTAGCACAGATGGGCACCCGGCTGGCTCAGTCGGTAGAGCGTGTGAATCTTGTTCTTGAGGTTGTGAGTTCGAGCCTTACATTGGGTGTAGAGTTTACTTAAAAATAAAACCTTGAAGAACAGCGCAAGTAGATACTGTCCAGGTAGGAGTTTTACCATAACCTGTTCATTAGGAGATGTGCAGTGGTGGTTCCTCCGTGGTGTTTTGATTTTCAAAGAATTTACGTGACTTCATAGTGATACCATTATGCCTGATCTCATCAGTTCTTAAGGTCGGCATGAAGACATTCACCATAACACATTTTGATGAGGTGTTGGATTTTGTAAGGTTTTATACCTAGACTCTGGGTGGAAACCAATTCTGTATCAATTATACGACCCACATCATTCAACTACCCTTAGTTTCTAGAGACCTGACTCAAAATGGGATTGGGCTGGTTGTTTGCTTTTCTTGTTTTTCACACAGCTCAAGTGCCTAGCTGGACTAGAGTTTACTAAAAACCCATTTATTGGTGTTGAACTATTCCTATGGCTATCTCCCGGGTCAAGTAGACCAAAAGCTATCAATAAATATTTATGAAATATTGGAAGTAATACTCTGCTAATTGTAAATGTTGAAAAAGAAACTTTCAAAGTAGGAGGCCTCCTGACTGCCTTCTCTCTGTCTGAACCCTTAGTAGTACCCTCGAAAGGTAAAGGCATCTGTTGTTTCAGCTGTGCAGGTCTAACAACAAAATATCCTTCAGAGTCTGTATCTCCTGCACAGTTTGCCTATTCTGACAGGTGTGCACATCACCCCGTAGTCTTGCAGGGAAGGTTTCTCGACAGCTTTAGTTGACCTGTAGGCTTTTGCATCCTAGGCGCCCGCTGCAGACAGCGATGATTCGAGACGGCCTCATCTTCTGGCTGATTGATATTCTGAAGGACCCCGACTGCCTGTCTGACTATACGCTGGAGTACTCGGTGGCTTTGCTCATGAACCTCTGCCTCCGGAGCGCAGGTCCGATAGCACCCCTCCCCCACCCTGTCCCTTAGCCCTCTGG